GTATCTTTTCGCAATCACAGTCACCGATGCTCCTGAGTCAATCAACCACCATTTGCTTGCATCATCCTTTTCCATGCTTTTGACTTGATTCATCGGAGGTTTCATCAAAGACCGAACTGACTTAGATGGCAACATCTGAGATAAATCGGTAGAGATCCGATGCTCCAACTCGGCAATCCGGACTCTCGTCTCAACTTCCCATGACCAATCTATCTCATCAGTACTCCGGGGAATCCACTCTTTTCTCACTTCATCGAGCAATTCTTCCAGAGGTTGCAACACAGATTCCACTCGGGCCTCTGACTCAGGTTCATTCCATTCACCTCCAGTTAGCTGGTAGTCACTCGACTCACCCTCTTGGGAGACTTCAGCAACTGTCTTCCCCTTTCCTTTGCCTTTTCCTTTGGGCTTTCCCTTTTCGGGCTTCTTCTTGGGATCTCCTTTTGCCTTGGCTTTCGCCTTAGCATTGGGGGAATTGGGCTTCTTGCCTGAATCTCCCTCCTTATACCAGCAATCGCGGGCATAATGTCCCTTTCCACCACACACATAGCACTCCACATCCTTCTTGTTCTGGCTTGAAGCTCGTTTGCCAGCACCTTTGCTTGATTCGCGCTTGCCTTTCTGTTCCTTTCCTTTGCCTTTTGGTTTTCCTTCGTTGCCCTTTCCCTCATTGGGATCTCGAAAAGGTTGAAGCTTCGTGCCAGGGGCTTCTGACCACACCCTTTGTTGCACCTCAAACTTCAGAGCAACTCTTTTCAGATCTTCAAACGATTCACTATCGCCATGCAACAAGCAATGGCTTCTACACCGATCTGGCAAACTGCGCAGCAAAACCATAACCGAATCCGCTTCTTGGATCTGCAAACCACCAGCATGCACATCGGGATCAAGACTATTGAGCAGCTTGGTGTACTTGTTCAACTCATGCTCAATCTTTCGAATGATCTCCGGAATACTGGGTGCTTTCACGGTTTGATTCACCAGCTGCGACCGAAAGAACAGGCATTCAGCTCGCGACTTCAGGCAAAACTCCTTCGCCAGCAATCTCAAAGCCACAAAACCAGATTGTTGATAAGTGCTCTCACTTTCAACATATGTCTGCAAAATCAGAGAACTCTTCTCATGATTTGCAAAAGTCTGTCGCAGGATGTGCATCAGCCTCGTCGACCTCTTCTGTTGCTCCACAGTAAGTCGATCCTGTTTCAGCCGAGACTCTTCTTGAGTCTTCACCGCATGCATGAGCTCATTGGGAAACACTTCTGAACCCAAACCAACCCAACTGGTCAGCTTCTCCATCCAGGTCAAGAATCCAAGAGCTTCAGAGATGCGATCCTTCCAAGACGAAAAGTCAATGGTCGGCAAACTGGGCAACCATTTGTCCGATCGAGCAAACACATCCCTTTCCTTTCTTGCTCCAGAGGTGGAGGTCTCAGTGGGGGACTTGGGCTCGCCATCCGAAAAAGCTGGGTCCCCTTCGCAGGAGTACCCACTGGCGATGCACCTTGACATCCCGAAGAAGAACTGGGCATGTTCTCAGGAACACCATCCTGAGGTAAGGGGGGATTCACCTGTTGCTGTTGCTGTGGCTGCTGTTGCTGATGCTGATGTATCATCCACTGCTGATGCTGCTGCTGTTGCTGCACCATGGACGAAGTCATCGTTTGCATAAACTGCTGTTGCTGCACAACCAGTTGCTGCATCATGCTTTCCAATTCTCGCACTTGTCTCGTCAACCCTTGCACGTCGGGTGATGTTTGTGATGGTGTCACCACAGGTTGAGGAGGTCCAGTGGATAGTCCTGGTGGTAACGAAGGACTTCCTACCGCTTGCTGAGGCAAACCAGGGGGAAACGAAGGGCCTCCCATTGTCTGTTGGGGTGCTCCAGTAGCTACCCCATGAGGGCTTCTGGCGGGAGTTCGACCTCTGGGCACTGGGCCATACACAGGTTGGCTTCCTTGTGCCAAACCTTGCACCCACAGTGGGTTGGGATTTCCCAAACCCGGAAAAGGGTCTACCCTTCGCCTTGTCTCAGCATCCATGATGGGCACAGAGCTTCCACGCTCTCGTCCACCTCTTGGACTCCTCACATGAGCTCCACTGGTATGTCGTGGGGGTGTATTCAACATAGTTCCTGAACTCAGGCTCCAGCCTGCAGTCTCTCCACAACGTCTTCTGGCGAAAATTCTCTCACCAACACCAGATGGTCCAGGCTCCTGAAGAACCTTAGTTCTACTCTACCAAGCACCGTATTCCTCCAAGATCGGTCACAACCAATCCAGTTCCAGACAAACCACCTTGCCCGGGCTCCAAAGTGCCTCAACAGCCGCTGAACCAACTGCTTCCAAGCCTGATGAGTCCGGATCCGCCTCCTCACAGGGTAGGCTTCCCGGCACTCACGAACACGGTCCGAGTACAAGAGATTCCGGTCCACTGGCAGTCTGGGCTCCAACCCAAACTTGCCTCCAGGCACTCACAGAGTCCTGACAGACAACCAAAGACCATACACGGGCTCATACCACAAGGCACAAGCTCCGTAACGTAAAAAACGAAGGTCCCTCTGGTACCTTTTTCCTTGAAAGCACGAACCCTGACCTCTCACACAAGTGCCTCTCTCTTTTTCACAGTCAGAGCCACTTGAGCCAAAAAGTCACGAAGTGCACAAACTAAACGAATTCTCTCTTGTGAGCTTAAACTCAGCTTCAGAACGAAGTTCCGACACACTGCACACTCACTTTAAACAGCGTATTGGGCAAAAACACACTCGTATGATTTTCTTGCAAATCAACAAGGCATAAACCATCGAGGATGGGATCACACGGATTCCCAATCACTCCGAAGCAAACAAACCTATACAAGCTGATCCAAACATGACAAAAACATCAATGATCAGCCACAATCTTCCACAAATTCTGCCTGCAACTACTTCTGCGCCTTTAACATTTGGTCCTGCCCCCTTCCACAAGAACAAATGCATTTTTTTGGGCACCTGTTGACCTTTCTTGGCACAAGAAAATGCTTTAAACTTCAGCTGAACCACAAAGAAAAAACAAACAGCTTCAGCTACAGCAACTTTTCGGATGTACATGTCAGAACTTAGAAGACAAGTAAATACTTCTACCCCCACTGTTAGCCCCATTCTGCTAGTGCCACTTTTGGGTGCAGAATGAAAGACGCATGCACACATGCATGCACTATTGTGTTCTGAAGCACTTTTAGTCTCACGACTAAATTCGTTTGTAGTTTTGCGCACTTCATGAACTTTGGCTCAAGACTGAGAACAAGGAACAGTGCCTGTGCTTGGTTCATGTCGGAAAGGGTTTGCACTTTCACGGGAAAGGGTACCTACAGGGACCTTCAGTTTTTACGGTTTTTGTTCTTATGGCGTTTGATCTGCAAGTTCTTATGGCGTTTGATTTGCAATCGTTTCTCCTCTGAAACATGAGAGGTCGTTGTCGAATCTTGCAGGAATGTGTGCATCTTGGCAGACCTTCATTTGGTGTTGCACCTGGTCCTGTTGTTGGCGCGGAGCTGACGCTCAGCGCCAGTCCTTCGCTTACAGTCAGTGTCCATCATGAGCTGGGGTTGGCACTTCTGCATCTCTTTCCATGGGTGTGGGAGCAGCAGGAGGCTGGATCTTGGCAGGCTTGGCGTTGTTTGGACCAATCGATGCAATTCTTGGAGGTTTTCCTCGGAGGCCTACTGGCGGGAATGTGTGTTGACTAAAGAAGGCAATAATGCCAATTGTCACTTGGACAGCAACTACCCGCTCTACAGTACAAATGGTCTTCTTCGTGCCAAGAGTTTAAGGACTGGGGTGTGTGGAAGCATTGGTGGGTTTGTCATAAGATTGTAAGCGAGATCCTCTTGGTTGTGCACGTTACGCCACTGAAGGTTTTAGACGTCTTTTTTTGATCCCTCTGCTCCCGGTGACCGACCACTCGAAGATAAGAAATATTGTAAATTTGCAGCTGCGTCGGTACCTACTGTGCCCGACACGATCTGCTGGCTTTTCGGTTCGGGGCTTAGAGTATCGATTTCTAGCCTTGGGTTTGGTGGGTGTGTCCAGGGTTTTGCTTTCCAGTTTTCTGGCTGGTCCCAGGACGGCAAAACCAACTTCCATTTTCGGATATCCAGTTTAGCTGGAACCCAATTGCCAACACATGCGAAGGATCCCAGATGTGCACAAATCTCAGCAGTCGCCCACGCTCGCATCATGCTCTGGAAGAGCGCATCGTTGTGCCCAGCAGCTGCAGTATCAGCAGCACGGCCGCCAAAATCATCAACATGTTGAACACAAGCTTTGAAGCAGAAACTGCACCACAGCAAGGGTGAGGTTGTTGTAACATCCTCACCCGCGTCAGCGAGTCAAGTCCTCCAGAGTGGAGCGCCGGCAAGCACCCGCACCCAGGAAGTGCCGAAGTACTATTGGACCGCTACCCATATTCCCAAATCCTACACCCGGAGCTGAAGTCGGCCAAGCTCCAAGCTCGGGCAGTCAGGCCTGGGCTTGTCCGAATGGCTGCAACTGGGGCAATTTAGGGCCATTGTTTTGGTTTTTTTTTGTTCTGTTGTTTCCAGCTTCGGATCTTCTCGTTTCGAGGCTCGTCGCCTCCCGGGCGCGTCAGGTCCTTTTGTCGGGCCTTGTTTTGCAAGGGCCATCGGCCTCGGGCAAATGTCGCAAAACTGTAAATTGCAGCATGCAAATGATCTTCACAACAGAGTGATGGAATTTCGCTTTCATTTTGCAAACACGCATGGCAGGCAAGCATTTTTGAAGTTGTATGGATTTGGCACATTGGCTTTCGAACGTACATACATGTGGATGCTGGCTTGAGCCATTCGGAGGTCGCAACATGCGGAACATCGAGTGCGAACCATGTCGAGAAACACTTTTAGCAGCTGAGACAAGCCAACTGCAACTTGCTACAGTTCAAGATCCAATCGGAGAAAATCAGACCCACGTTGCCATGTCTTGCCCGCAAGCCGCCTAACATGGCAGCATGGGCTTTGGAGCTTCTGGTGGGCTTTGCTTTGCCAGTTTGTGGCATTGCTCGCCGTTGTTCACCTTTGCTTGCAGTTTGTCAGCGTTGCCTGCTTCGTTCAGGTTCGGCAACGAAGGAGTCGGGATTTCTGTGCATCAGACCCCGGAGATTAGCAAGGCAATGTTTGCGCTTCCATCTCAGAACTGTGGGAACCATGGCTTTGCTTTCTGCAATGGCTCTGTTTCTTTGAAGGGCTGCATGCCAATGCATGAAGCAAGCTGAGGCTGCTTTGCCCCATGCTGCAACCTTGCCTTGGACTGCGTGGATGTGGCTTTGCGGGTCCCGTTGCAAGAGATGGTTTCCGACATCGTACGGTAAGATTTTTAATAGCCTTCAGGGGCAGGTTCGGGCTAGGCACACAGACACTCGCTATTAATTTTTTTCAGCTGTGTTAATGGCTGTGGTTGATGCTTGTTCATCCGTCGCTCGCGTCGTCAAGGCATCACCTTCATTGCCCATCGCACTTGAGAGACCCCAACATCCGATTCTCCAGTAGCACCCAAAGTTGGGGGAGTTTTGCAACTGATCCGGCCCCCGAATGCACCTTGTAGCCTTGTCATGTGTGTCCGTGACAAGGTCATCGGGCCGCTGTTCGTTCTGCTCGCGCTCACGTTGATATGCTTTGTCATGTGCCTCCGCTGTGAAGATACCCCCGCCCGGCCATCAGGAGCCCTGAACTTTGACTTCTACCCTACTCGGGTCCGTGAACCCCAAAGCTTCTTCCCTCGGCTTCTCAGCCCCCAGGTTTCGTGCAGCGTTCCATTGTTTTCTTCCTCAGGTACACTTTCTTCACGGTCTTGATTCCGTATCGAGCCGATTCCGGCACGGCCTCGATCCAGTTGGAGCCTTATACTCGCCTGCGCATCGTGATCTCCTGAAAAAGCAAATCCTCTAAAGAGTCTTCTCAAGCCCTAAACCCTAAACCCTAAACCCTAAACCAAAATCCCCAAACCTTAAACCCGAAACCCTACACCCAAAACCCAAAACCCTACACCCTAAACCCTACACCATCCTACACCCTAAACTCTAATCCCTAAACCCTAAAGCCTCAACCCGAAACCTTAAGCCCTAAACCCCAAACCCTAAACCCTAGACCCTAAACCCTAAACCTTAAACCCTAAAGTTACAGCCTACATCCTACACCTTAAACCCTGAGCCCTGAACCCTAAACCCGAGAAGTGCAAAGAGAATGCCAAAGCCGTGTTGGCTGTCGTGGTGATGGCAAGTGTTGTAGGTGAACAAAACGCTCTGGCAGGTTGCTGCTTGAAATGGCTCTGGGATGCTTCCTGCTGGTGGGCCAGACCTGTCTTTCCAGCCGCTGATGCTCGGGTGTAGGGTTTAGGGTTTAGGGTTTAGGGTTTATTGTAGACTTGCAAATGAGTGCATTTGTTCACAAAAGCCGGGGCGACGAGATGTCTGCATGACACGCGCCGCCGGCCCTTGCACATACAGCAAAGAAGGCAAAAACAACCCACAACGCAACAACCCAAGCCCAAAGCTCTGTACATCCGAAGCTCCAACCCTAGAGCCGAAACCCCGGAAAAGACAGGTCAACATCTTCTACAACTATGCCATGGCCACGTGCCTCTCTCCGGGGGAGCCCCCGGACTTCCCAGGCCAGGGAAAACTCCCCCGGTTGCCAAAAGTCTAAAGTCGGAGGTTCCTTTGAGCTGGCTCAGCCAACTCCCAGACAACCTCACTCAAGCCCAAGCCCCACATCAGGCTCGCCTTTCTGGGTCCTTCGTGGCCCCTCCGAAGTCCGATTTGCCAGGTGAAGTGCTGGAGAGCAAGGATGCCGAGCTGGGTGGCGACTACGCCCCGGCTCCCAAGCAGTGCCACAAGCGGCAGCCTTAGTCAGAACCGAGGGGAGGGGGGGTGGGGGGCGGGGGGTCAGTGAGCGAAAAAAGACACTGCAGCGTTCTTGCCTCTGCGCACAACATGATGCCAAGGGGTGCTTGATGTTTTCGGAACAAGACGTGCTGTCACAAGCATGTTGTGAACATGCCCAAAAACACTGGCATTTACAGCGTTCTTGCCTCTTGGCAAAACATAGTGTGCAAGAACGTTCATCTTCTTGCCAGCTCTGGCGGCCATTTGCTGAACTACTTTCTACACTCCCAAGCCCTCTTCTTAGTGCATGTCGAGAATATCGTAAATTTGCAGTGTTTCACGCCCCGCCTCCAAACGCACCATTTTTTGCACAGTCTTGCCGTTGAACAAGCCTGAACTCCTGTAAATTGCACTATGTCCAGCTTCCACGAAGAAGTTTGGCACACCCATACCGCATACCACCAGGCAAATTGTGCACGCGTGACCATGTTGGGTTCGTGGCTTAAGGCCCCAGAGTCAGCTTGTAGAATCTTGGCCTGAGACCTGCAGTGGACGGAGGTTCTGACCCTAGATCTCACAATGCTCAGCACGCTCGCTCTCTCGCTCTCTTCTCGCTCTCTTCTCGCTCTCTTCTCGCTCTCTTCTCGCTCTCTTCTCGCTCTCTCGCTCTCTCGCTATCTCGCTCTCTCACTCTCGCTCTCTCCTTCGCTCGCTCGCTCTGTAGACTCTAAACCTTTGCCCAAAGGGTTTAGGATTTGTTTGGGTGCGGCGGCATGATGACGGAATCACGATGCAGGTTCTGTGGCTTGAGGCTCTTTCGGTTACCCTGAGCCTTGAAACCTGAGCTCAATCCTTGAGCTTGAGCCCCAAGGGGCAAGGCAAGCTGTACATCGTGTTTATGGATGAACCAGGGGGCTCTTATTCGCATGAGCCTATCGAGGTACAACTACGTTTTTTTCGTGCGTGGCATGCTCTCTTTATTGAGTTTCCTGCAAGTTCATGCACACATCTGCACAGCGTTGATTGTCCGCTACTCGAAAGAGGGAACAAAGCTGGCTCAGCACGCCAAAGAACTTGAAGAATCTTGAAAGCACTGAAATCTGTTCATAGGCCAAGAGCTGCACCACCTTGTCAAGCCACAACCGCCCTAAACCCCCATATCCCAACCGACTTCCTAGACTCTCCCCGGGATGCAGCCTCGGAACTCGAAGCCTTAAACCCTATTAACCCTAGAATCCCAAACCCTGAGATCCCAAACCCGAAAAAACCCCAAAGGCCTAAAACCCCCGCACCCTAAGAATCCTCAACCCCAAGCCTGGAGTCGTAAAGAGAGGTGCTTGAAGCTGAAGCCCCCGCGTGCGCACCACTGCAGCGCCCGGCGCTTGGGGAGCCCACGGGGAGTGGCTTGGGAGCCCAAGAGCACTCTTCAGACCTAAACCCTTAAGCTCGACACTCTCGACCCCTCCGTCCCTAAGCTGGAAAACTACCCCAATCCTTGAAAGGGTTTGGGGTTCTCATGGGTTTTCTGAGGTTTCAGTTGGCCTGGGCCTTCGAGTTGGGCGGGGGGGGGTTTTGGGGGGGTTTTGAGGGTGTCTTTTGCTTGAACCTTACTGGGTCCCGCAACTTTGCAATCCCTCCAAGCCCACAACTCATCATCACCGAGGTCTGCAAAAGGTGCGTCTTGAAGATGGACCACCACTGCCCCTGGATCAACAACTGTGTCGGGTTCAACAACTACCGGTGCCCAGACTTGTTCTTCTCTTAGTGTGCCTATGTATGGAGACGTTCTTTAAGTTGGTTCGGTTTGGTGTTAGGGTGCGGCTGTTATGGTGCTGCACCGCGAGTTGTGCTAGGTACTTCTGTCTCTTTATGCTCTTCTTGGCCATGTTCCGACCTCAGCTGTTCCGTGGGGGGAACCGCATCCCAAACCCAGCAACTCATATGCCACTTTGCCCTTTAAAGACTCTAAAGGCGTGAATGGTCTGAAAGAGTCTGGTCCAGGGGCTGCCTCTACTATGCCTTCCTCGGCTACTCGCTCTTCCTTCAGACGATGGTTCCCGCAAGGATCGCAGCTCGGAACCACGTGTATCAGCGTTCATTTGCAAATGCAACTTTGCTTGGAAGCCCGAACTTTACACACCAGCCTGCCTGGCGCCACAGGAAGAGGACTGTGCGGCTCAAGTTCGAGGACGTCCAGCCCGGGGCTGATATGGGAGCAGCCCACTACAAACCCTCCTGAGCCCCTGAAACCTGTACTCGAATCTAGACCCCAAATCCAAAAAGCTGAAATGACCGCCAAAGCCCTTCCGAGCTCCAAGCGACTCTTCTCTGAGCTCGGAAGTCGCGAAGGTGCGTCACGCTCTCCTGGCTGATCAGCGTCTGCATCTTCTGCGCGCCCGGGTGCCCGGACGCTTCACGGAGATACCCTCCAGAGCCCCTTGTGCCACTTTACTGTAACTTTAGATCCTTACCTTTTTTGGGTTTATTGGGTTTCTTAAAAAGGCAGCTAAAAATTAAATTTATAGCTACCCTGCTAAGTGCAGCCAAGACCGTGCAGGATGCTTGGTTTGCTGAGCTTCGGTGTGTGGAGCTGTTGCCCTGCAGGCTTTGCCTCTTGGGTGGCTTTCACATGCCCCTTGGCAGCAGCTGGCTTTAGGAAGCCCCAAGAAGGCCAGGCCCGCAAAGGATGTAATGTTGTGTAATATCATATGTGCGATTTTGAGTTGAAGGTCCAGAACCCTTTCGACATCCTTGGCTTGAAAGTCCGTACCACAAGGTATCTGGTGCTGACAAATCAGACCACCATCGAGTTTCACCTGAACATGGCCGGCCGGCAGATCGCGCGCAAGCGCGGGGAGGTGCACAGGACCTTTCCAAACGCACGAACACCAGTTGGGGCGAAGGTGGAGCCGGCGGGAGCTCTAGAGGGTCTTAGGTGAGTTCGGGAGCTACAGGGACTTGGATGAGTTAGTGGGCAGGGAAGGGCCGGGAAGGGCCACACAAACGCAGGAATCCCTACGACCTTGGCATGAGCCGCAACTTCCAGCAGGCTCGGGTTCGCTTGGCTTTGTGGCAAAGAGACCCAAAGGCCAGCAAGTCGGCCTTTTCGCGTTCCCACGTGCAACACCCATATTGCGCAGTGAATCCCCCGATGGCTAAGCCCGAAACGCAAAAATTGCTTGAAACCCGAAATCCCAAACCAGCCAGGTGTTCGGGCCGAACCGATTCTTGGGCTTTCTGTGGCTCCTGCCCTACGTGGCAAGGAGGCAAGGGCTGTTTGCCTCAGCGAGTGCTGGACTGTTCTTGAGAGATCCGAAGTGCAAAGCATCAGCAAGCCATTTCAATGCCATTTGGAGATCAACAGAAGGAACCAAGGGGACAAGAGTGTTGGCGCCAGCCACTTGAGAAGCATTTTCCTCTCATCCGTTTGTGGCATGCTGTGGTAGTCCTGAGCTGCCTTTTTCCCATGTCCACCCCGGACCCTCAGTCCTGCGCCCTAACTGGCCTACGTAGTGGCCCCCAAACCCGTCACCGGCACGAAGCCTCCCAAGAAAGCAGCCGCCCCGTGAACCAAACCACTTTTTGACAGCTTTGAGCCCCCCGAAGTTTTCAAGTCAGCTTGTGCCTGAGGGCTTTCAGTTCAAGTTTTTAGGGTCTCTGGGTCCAGGTTTAAGGGTTTAGGGTTTAGGGTCTCTGGGTTCAGAGCTCTCCAGGTTTAAGGGTTGGAGCTTTAAGGGGGTCACAGGCCTACATCAAGTGGGCTCGAGTATCCGACGGTGCTGGCGCCCCAGAAGGCGGCTCAAGCAGTGCCCGGTCTCTTCGAGCGACCAAAAACCCCACAAAAAAGCACCTTAGCAGACCGACACCAACAAGCCCTAAACCCTAAACCCTAAACCCTAAACCCTAAACCCTAAACCCTAAACCCTAAACCCTAAACCCCAAAGATCATTTTTCTTGCTCCGCCCTTCGCTGCCCCTTTGAGCTTTCCGAATGCAATCCCAGGTCTGATTTCCGCGCTTGATCCAAGATGCTGGCCCTGAGTGGCAAGTGATCTTAGGCCGTAAATGCAAAGCAGCGCAGGCTAAGGGTGTTGAAGCAGATTTGAGAGGGATGGGATGAGGAGACTTCGAAGTGCCAAACCGTCATCTTGCCCAAGCCGCATCTGACCACGGCTTGAGCTGTTTCACCTGAGGCAGGGATTGGTTCTCGGAAAAAAAAACAGTGCTGCTCCACAAGAAGCAGGATGTAGCTGTGTGGTCAACACTTCGGCTACGGTAAAAACTGCGGACACGCACCGGCCCGGGGCTGAAAGAACTTCGTCATGGCAATGCGACGGGTGCTGATGGGTGGTTTTGTAGTGCGGCGGTGATGGGTGGTGCTAAGCGAGAACACGCATGAAGAGCGGATTGCTGTGGGCTTCCAGTCCATCCCGCTCACTCTTGAAGCGCATGGGCGCTTGCCGCCGTCGACGCCAGGAAGTAGTTCAACGAGTGCTTGGCCCTGGTGGTAGTCAGAGCGCGTTGCAGAGTCGGATGGGCATGAAGCCAGCTTACACTTCTCGCATGGTTGCTTGGCAGTTCCTGATGTTTCTCACTCTCTAAGCTTAAGTCAGCGCGCAGTCGCTCGCCGCACGCAGAAGTTGACCGCACGCAACGGACGGTCACCGCCTGATGCTGCCTCATCAGGTCCCTCCTGGTGCCGGAAGTGGGTTCGGCTGCAACATATCTCCCGATGAGAGTTTTTGCCATGAAGGCCACCGTATCTTTTGCTTCGAAACCAAGATGAGAATTCGTGAAGTCATTATCTTTTCACGTATTTGGTTCACCGACAGGCTCATCAAGTGGATGGATTCTAGTGCCTCGCCACAGGCAGACTCCGTACACGACCGTGTCAAGGTCATCTGACAGCTGGTGCATGCTGTTTGGCAGTATGTGGCCTTGGCAGTTTTCCACATGCGGCTGGAGGCAGCTCAAACTTCGTGACGCTTGGGGCAACCATGTCTTGGCATCGGAAACGCGGTGGGCAAATCAGAACATAGAGAGTGTCAAGCCAAGGCTTGTCTCCGAAAGAACTGCGTCTGAGCTTTTGATGCGGAGATTCATGGTAATGTGCTTGCCGCGAGATTCGACTGCGATGCTGCTTGCAGGCTTTTGCATCTTGATTGCGAAAAACTACCAAACGTATTGTATTTTGCCGAGGCCGGCTTCGTCTCTCGCTCGGCATGAACCACCACCTGTAAGCCCGAGGAAAATATTCGTGCGGGCCAAGAATGCAGCGCGCGATCACTGAAATTATCGGCCCCGCATGTAACAAGGGGACGGGCGCCGAGCTCGGCGGGCATCCTGCCAAGGCAGCGGGGCGACGTCGCTGGGCAGACTGCCAAGCAATTTGGGGGCAAGGCATGCTCATCGGTGTTGCCGGCGATGTGAATGGTGTCGTTTCTTCGGTGGCGTCGGGCGCCCGTGAGCGCCATCGGGGCCTCCCCTCGCATGGATGCGAAGGGGGAGAAGGCGAGCCATCAAAGAAGCCAGTGTGCTCCCAAACGGTGCCAATCACGAATACATGGCGCACTTCGAAGGTTAGGTGGGTGAGCATGGACCTTTTGTTGAACAGATGTTGTTAATTCAGATGGTCACGACACTGTCACGACCCAAGAGTGGGCAGCAAACTGACCGATCATGACAGGAACAAGGTTCGCCATTATGAATTTCCACCGATGTCACGGTGTTGGGAGTGGCGAAAGCGAGGTCCAAGGCAGCTCTGTGGCGCTCGGTGGGGAAGTCAGCTCGGCGTTTGGCTTGTCCTACATCGAGCTCTGGTGTCCCATGTCAGCTTGATGTTCGGCTTGGGACTCCGCAGCTCCTTATAGGCCAAGCCAAGCGCGAGGCTGAGCCCAGCGGACGGGTGAGTGCGCTCGTCATCAAGGGAAAGGCGGTGAGCAAGCAGATCCGCTGATGCCAGCGCTGTATGCTTTGGCGCAACACGACGCGCTTTGCGATGTGCAAAGCAAGCTTCAAGACGGCGAGGCCGCCCTTGCGTTTCTTGATGATGTCGTTCGCGCGCTTTACGATGCATCCGTCGTCATGAAGGCAAGACGCGCATCGGGAACGCCTCTGGCGAAGAGCTGCCCAAGGTTGCTGACCCTGGCGGAGCCGAGGGGCGCGTGCCTGGGCCCTGCCGCCCGGAACCAGGGCCTCCCCCTGGAGCCCCGAAGCCGCGCGCTTCGTGCGCTTGCTCGCCCGATGTCGGGCTCGGGCGGGCCCAGGCCGCCAGCGCCTTCGTGGCCCGCTGGTCAGCACTGCTCGCCATGTCCGCAGCCCGCGCCTTCGTGGCCACCCTTTCGTGCTGCCCGTTGCCAGCGCCGACAACGACGACGGGCCACCGCCCGACGTCAGTCGAGATACTTGCAGAGGCTCGCTGCTCTGACCCGGGAAGCCCGAACCAACAGCCCTGCACTGGGACCTGCGCGGAGCTCGAGAAAAACAGAGGCGCGAGGAGAAAAACCAAAGTCACTGGGGGAAGAAGATGTAAAAGTCGCGGCCGCTTGCGTTTACCTGGGGGAAACGACCAGCCGACTATTGACGCAGGCACAGACACATTTATGTTTTTTCCAAGGATGCTCGTTTTTACATGTCTAACAGGCTTGCGGAGATGCCTCGATGCGTTTGGGCACCACCGCGCCGCGTGCGCTACCAGCAGTGTGCTCGCCGCGCAGGGCCATCTGAGCGCGCTGTCGAGCGGGTTTGCCGCGAGGCCGGTGCGCGTGTCGCACGCAATGTCCGCATCGCCGACATGAACATCGACGTGCCCGTCGCTGACGATGGGCGCATCGCAGTCCTTGCCAACGGCCCCCACGGCCTGTCCCTCTAGCACGGCTCACACTTCGATCCAGGTTGACGCGAAGTGATACGGTACCCTGAATTCCTCCGCAACGGTAGTGCCGCCTGGTCGTCATTGGCCCGGAAGTGGGTGGTCGCCTTGGCACCCCTGGCCCGCCGCCGAGCCGCCACCATCCCAGCGCACCCCCGACCAGCGGCTCAGGCCGCCTGGGTGGCGACACGATGGGCGGCGGTCGTGGCTGTAGCGGCCCAGTGTGCATTCGCCTTCTTTTTGCTCGAGCCCCCCTTTAGCTGGCGAGAGCAATAGCGATGACGCCGTGCCTAAGTTGCACGAGGTCCTGCCTGATGCCCGGTGGGACCTCTCCCCGGCCGCCAGCCGCGTGCCTCCGTGGAGGTGAGGCCAGTTCCCCCCCCCCCGACCCCCAACCCGCGAGGACATGCTGCAGAAAAAGGCGTGCGAATAACAAAAAAATCAACTTGCGATTGAGGGTCTCTTATTCAACCATAACCGAGCCGAACTCGCCGCCATCATCAATGTTATGAAACGACCACTGTGCAGCCGCAGACCGCGCTGGGCCCCTGCGGACGGCCGAGCGGCGCAAAGGAGCCACCTACCGCGGTCCCGCACGGGGGGGGGGGGCGCAACAGCTCTGCGTGCTTGGTTGCAAGGAACGCCAAGGCTGCGTTAGTGGTGCGACGCCTGGTCCGCTTGCGGGCCAGCCGCGCCCCGGCACCCCTGCGCGAGGCTGCCAGCGTCGCCTGGGCGCGCAGGATCGCACAGGGCAAGGGCGGTAGCGGGGCCGGCGCAAGACAGCCTGCCGCCTGGCGACCATGGCTGCCGTCCGCGCTCTTGGTGACCCGGACGGGCCGATTCGCCTGCCGTTGCGCTGAGGCATGCTATCGTAACACACGATCTTCTGAGGAGTCCTCCCTTTCTGTTTAGCTTTTACAACAACCACAACAGCTTCAGTACACCATTTGTCACGTATGGTGTTGGTTAGTGTTGTCAGCCCTGGACCTTTCGCACTGGCGTTCGCCAAGGATGCGTGTCGAGCCCCAAGCTATTTCGCTGCATTCTCCAACATGCGATGCGCACCTGGCGGCTGCATGAGGGTCTGCGGTCCCTGTGCACCCTGCGGCTCGGGAGGGGCGGGGAGGACGGAGTTCCGGGGCCCTGCAGGTGCGGAGAGGCAGGCGGCTCGGGACTGCTGGGGGGTGGGCTGCTTCGGAGGAGGTAGCGCGTGCCCCGCTCCCTCCTAATAATAGGTGGATGGGGGGGTACCCCCCGCGGCACCTATTTAGAATAGGTGGGGCATGTCGGGCTCGGGCGGGCCCAGGCCGCCAGCGCCTTCGTGGCCCGCTGGTCAGCACTGCTCGCCATGTCCGCAGCCCGCGCCTTCGTGGCCACCCTTTCGTGCTGCTCGTCGCCAACACCGACAACGACGACGGGCCACCGCCCGACGTCAGCGAGATACTTGCAGAGGCTCGCTGCTCTGACCCGGGAAGCCCGAACCAACAGCCCTGCACTGGGACCTGCGCGGAGCCCGAGGAAAACAGAGGCGCGAGGAGAAAAACCAGAGTCACTGGGGGAAGAAGATGTAAAAGATGCGGCCGCTTGCGTTTACCTGGGGGAAACGACCAGCCGACTATTGACGCAGGCACAGACACTTTTTTTTTTTTTTCCAAGGATGCTCGTTTTTACATGTCTAACAGGCTTGCGGAGATGCCTCGATGCTTTTGGGCACCACCGCGCCGCGTGCGCTACCAGCGGTGTGCTCGCCGCGCAGGGCCATCTGAGCGCGCTGTCGAGCGGGTTTGCCGCGAGGCCGGTGCGCGTGTCGCACGCAATGTCCGCATCGCCGACATGAACATCGACGTGCCCGTCGCTGACGATGGGCGCATCGCAGTCCTTGCCAACGGCCCCCACGGCCTGTCCCACGGCCTGTCCCTCTAGCACGGCTCACACTTCCAGGTCGACGCGAAGTGATACGGTACCCTGAACTCCTCCGCAACGGTAGTGCCGCCTGGTCGTAATTGGCCCGGAAGTGGGTGGTCGCCTTGGCACCCCTGGCCCGCCGCCGAGCCGCCACCATCCCTACACTCGGTGGCTACTGGTAATGGGAAACGAAAGCCGTGGTTTGATGAGCCCTAGTAGTCCGGTGTGTCCGGTTAGGGCAGGGAT